GGGCAAGAGAAGCTTCTCTGAGGGTTAGTGTTTGAGGTGGGAGGGTAGCTGAGTGAGAGTGGCAGTGGGGGAGAGTGTTCTGAAGTCTGAAATGTCAGTGTGACAGGAAGTATAGGTGTGGACTGTCTGGTGGGAACACAGGCTTTTGGGTCTCTCTCAGTTGGGATGGCCTTTCTTTTTTTTTTTTGAGTTGGAGTCTCACCCTGTCACCCAGGCTGGGGTGCAGTGGCATGCTGATGGCCACTGCAGCCTCACCCTGCTGGGCTCAGGTGATCCTTCTGCCTCAGCTTTCCAGTTGCGACCTTTCTTTACTGCGCACAGTGACCCAACTGGCACCCCCATTCTGCAGGTGAAGACACTGAGGTTCAGAGAGGGGAAATGACTGACCCAGACCTCACAGCAGCATCAGGAAGAATAGGACCTTGAGAGAATTTCAGAACTACACTGCTCACCACACATGCTCTTAGTGTTACCAAAGGAGTTCTATCTGCAGGGTCTTGCTTTTTTTTCTCTTTTTTAAGGGCCTTGCTTTTTTAAAAAATTAGCATTTCTTGAGTTTTTTAAAATTCCTGACTTTAACTCTGTTCTTGGTGAACATAGATGAACATGTGCCAAGCACTGATCTTCTGCTACATGCCATGTTAAGCAAGGCATGTGCACTGACTCATTGTCTTGGTGGCAAGGTAGGGCTCAGCATAGCCATTCTGAAGGTGAGGGTCTTGGAAGGGAAGTGCCTCACTCAGGTCACACGGTTGCCGGCAGCAGGCAGGAGTGAAGCCATGCTCCCTGCCTGCATCCCAGCCCCACTGCTCTTCTCCAAGGAGTGGGAGCAGGGGGCAGGAGGACCTGGGGATTCAGAATGCTGGGGCTCGTGAGCTGCTGGCCCTGGTTGCAACTCTGCTGGTCTCCCTCCTGCAGTCGGACCCTTTGGGGCTGAATGCGACCCCACTGCCCCAAGATTCAAGCTTGGTGGAAACCCCCCCGACTGAGAACAAGCCCAGAAAGCGGCAGCTCTCAGAAGAGCAGCCAAGCGGTAATGGTGTGAAGAAGCCCAAGGTGAGTATCTGTGGGCTCTCAGGAGCTGGCTGGTGAGTGGCCAGCTCAGATGGGAGCCAGCAGGTTCCTTCTAGGGTCTGGACACTAGCAGGCTGGCCAGGAGGAGGGCCCGGGACACAGCTCACCGGGTGCACAGTGTTGGTTGGAACCTGTTTGCTACATCTCCTGACCTGATGCCTTTGTGATCCCCTCACTCCAGATTGAAATCCCTGTGACACCCACGGGTCAGTCAGTGCCGAGCTCCCCCAGTGTACCGGGAACTCCAACACTGAAGATTTGGGGTACATCTCCTGAAGATAAACAGGCAGCTCTTCTGCGGCCCACTGAGTGAGTCCCTACTGATTGGCTTGGGGACATCTGTTGCTGACTGCCAGCTTGCCTGGGACTGTGGGGGGTGACGGGCAGGCCAGGGCATCCAAACTTTTGGCTCCTATCTGTACCACAAGGGTCTACTGGGACCTGGACATCCAGACCAATGCGGTCATCAAGCACCGGGGGCCTTCAGAGGTGCTGCCCCCGCACCCCGAGGTGGAGCTGCTCCGCTCACAGCTCATCCTGAAGCTTCGGCAGCACTACCGGGAGCTGTGCCAGCAGCGTGAGGGTAACTGCCTCTGTGGCCTTCTGTTTCCACCCACCTTTAGTGAGAGCCAGGCTTGGCCAGGCAGGCTTGGGGATGGCACAGTGAGCCTAGTGGGTCAGAGTGTGTGCTGTGGAGGGGTAGACCTGTTGGGGTCCTGACAACACTAGCTGCTGGTCCTGTGATTGTGGCGCATCACTTAACACCTCTGCATTTTGGTTTCATTGTCTGTAAGATAAGGACAATAACAGCACCTAGAGAGAGGGTAGCTGGAATCAGTAATGACAAAAATAACTTTTTCTTTTTTTTTGAGTTGGAGTCTCACTCTGTTGCTCAGACTGGAGTTCAGTGGCCACCTCCTGGCCACCGCAGCCTCGACCTGCTGGGCTCCAGCGATCCGTCTACCTCAGCTTTCCAAGTAGTTGGAACTACAGGTGCAGGCTACCACACCCGGCTAATTTTTTGATTTATTGTAGAGATGAGGTCTCACCAGGTTGCCCAGGTGGGTCTC